GGGTACTGCCGGAACGTACCCTGGTTACGGTCCGGTATACCGGAACGTACCCTGGTACTATCTAATATACCGGACCGTACCTCACCTACTCCACTAACGAGTCTAGGGAGTCGACTACGCCTACTCCTTAACCCTAACCCTAACCCGAACCATACCAGGGTACGTTCCAGCAGTACCCTGGGGGACATAGACCCTATGAGCGGCAGTATGAGTATCTACGTTTCTCAGAGGTGGGTGCAACTGCCCCCCCCTCCCTCTGGTATGGTGGTGGTGGTGGTGGTGGCATGGCTTAATTGGCTGTGGTGTGCTATTATTATTAAAGCCGCACAATGCGCATTCTCCTGTCATTAGTATAAATTAGAGTTAAACTTTTAGTATTTTACAGCATAGGGTTTCAGAAACAAACTACTACAGAATGTGGTCAACGTAAACAAAAAACAGATTACGTGCAAAAAAATGCAGCACTATTAATAATAATAGCACACCACAGCCAATTAAGCCATGCCACCACCACCACCACCACCACATTTGTCCACATTGCGCGTTTATCAACATTGTGTTTTTAGCCTGAGCTCAGAGTTGGTATACAGATTAGTTATAATGGGAATTGCTCGCCCCATTGACCTTTGACCTCCAATTTCGGCACAGTGATGGCTTTCCCTACCATAATGCTATACACTGACTATCACGAGCCTAGGTCGAGCCGTTTAGATTTGTGCCGCAATTCTGCATTTCCTCCCTATACCTTAAGTTAAGGAGGGAATGTTCCTTCTTTTACACCTCTTGACCTTTGACCCCCAGCTTCGACATCCCAACTCGTTTTCGGATTACCCCCCCACGTCCCGAATATCGTGACCGTATGTCGAGCCGTTTAGAATTGTGCCCAACTGTTGACGCACGGACGGACGCACGGCCAGACGGACGCACGGCCGGACGGATGCACGGACGCACGCTCATGCAATTCTACAAGCTGCATCTGACTATGTCAGATGAGCTAAAAACATACCTAATCTACTACGAATATCATCAAGTCTAACATCTGTGACAGAAAATGCAAGCAGTATACCTACGTATACACATGAGCAGCACACAGTATCAGTCTTATGAAATATTTAGAGATATCTAGACAGATTCTTCCAAGACAATCCGTATATAGCAGGATGCACAGCGTGTGTTTATGCTGTCACAGTGACCTTATTCATTTTTCTTCTCTTCCTTCTTCTCTGGGCACAGAATGCATGCATCCCAGTCCGGCCAGTAAGTCTCCTTCATCCTGTAGGCGTATTCCTTCAGGTTTTTGAACTTTCCTGTTGGATAATTTCAGTTTAATTACGTAAATATTTAATTAATTATGTTAGCAAAATATTTAGATGGTGTGAGGATAAGACACAAACGACTATGCACATATCGCCATCCGCCACCTACCATTGATGAGTGCTTCATGTGGTGAGCCTGGCATGTTCCAGACCATTTGAGCCAGCATACCAAACAGTGCACAGTCAACTGTGCAGGCCTCGTCCCCCATGAAGAACCTCTTCTCACCTGTAGAATGTCCAGTGAATTATCAATAAGTGACATATATTTGTTGTTGTTTTCATGTATGCAATAATTGACCTATCTGCTGGAGCGAGAAAACCATACTACACTGGCCATTGTTGCTAGGTCTCAAAATCGACCAGGCTATATGTGTTTTTGTTTCCCCAACAGATTTGGCCTTTTAAGGGGGCGTGGCACCATATTTTCAAAATGGCCACCATTAAATTTCGAAATACATTTGTTTGGGCATATGAACCTGATTTTTGGTGCTTAGATCTTGTACTATGTAGCACTTCAGCACTTGCAGCATTATTAGAATGTGCCTATTACAATACTATTTTGCTAAAGCTATAACTGTCAATTAATCCAGACTGATAGGTCAATTATGTCCGTTACATAACTTCGTCACTATCGTAAGGCTATGAAGTCAAATGTATTTTGATGTCATAGTAGAATCCGACACTTACTCTTCACATGTCAGCAGAAAGTACATTTCATGGTCCTTTCAAAAAAGCCATAAAAATGCTAGGTCACCGCTGAAACAAAAAAGTTTTCCAATCGCTCTGTCAGACCATGTCCTCAGAAAATGTCTAAAATCTGCCCTGTACCATGAAATGTACTTTTCGCTGACATGCGAAGAGTAATTGTCGGATAACCTTTTGACCCTTAAGAGAGTTTCAGGCACTCGATTTGTATCAACCAATGGGATTTGGGAGGTATGCAGAATGCAGAAGGTTGTTGAAATGATGTGTACGTAACTGCGTATCTGCATATCTGCGCCTAACAAAGGTGTCACTACGCACGACTTAAATGTTACGTTTATAACCGTAGCAATAGACCTCAGATGAGCCAAGACGCTCTGCGGCTCTTGTTTACCTTAACTTGAAAAATCGTACCGGCAGACGAGATTTCTTTGCTTGGCGCCTTGCGTGATTCCCTTCTGGAAATTCATGTTAGTGTGAAAACAGGCAATTCCTAACAGTGGGGGCAATATATAAAACTATCGTTTTACATTCATTTTTATACGTGTTCTCAAGCATCGTGGTATTCGACTTTCGGCTTTAGCAATTTAATCAACAATTTATTTGGTGAGAAATGGAAATATTTACCAAGAACCGTAAAAAAGTCTAAATATTTACCGCCGATTGAGATATGGGGTACGCCAGCAGTATCCTCCTATATATACGCGTCTAACTCTGCATGTGCTTTGGATACAAGTGGAAGCAGATGACAGTGTGTTGTGAGTGGCCGTTGCTTGAGACGGGGGTGTCGTATACAGAGCTATAAACCGATGTTGCGTGGGTGGATTGGGGCAGCACACAGAGCTCCTATAGAAACACGGGCTAACCATGAATATTTACACGTGTCGTTTGTCGCTCGCGTTTCAAACGAACCAACCGTCGCCGAATACACGAGTTCATAAATAAATGCGGACGCGTATACCATAGAAACTGGCGTGTGGGTGTGTGTGGGGGTGTGTGTGTGCGTGTGCGCGCGCGTGTGTGTGTGTGTGTGTACGCGTGTGTGCGTGTGTTTGTGTGTGCGTGCGCGCGTGTGTGTATGTGTGTGCGCGCGTGCGTGCGTTCGTGCGTGTGTGTGTGTGCGCATGTTGCAGCAGTGGGCCGCTGTGTGGAGGGCGTTATGTGAGCGAGTGATTTACGAGAGGAATTTTGCAATAACCACAGCGAGGTCCCGAGAGAGCAAGGGCGAGAGCGGGAGAAGGTGGAAGAGAGACAGAGAGCGGGAGGGATAGCGAGAGAAAGAGGGGGAAGAGCGTAGGAGAAAAAGAGAGTAAGAGAGAAAGAGAGAGAGAGTGAGCGACGAAGAGGGAGCGCGCGCGAGAGAGAGAATGTGAGAGATAAGAGGGAAAGATAGATCGCAGCATCAGTGTCATTATGCTAGCCACAAGCAGCCCCGTATAAGAATAGGTATAATTCTCACGTTTTTGCAGCGCGGCGCTTGTTTCGCGGTTCGTGGTTTGCGGTCGTGCGGTTTGTCGGCAGCAGTAGGTATTTGTTTTTGCTGCGGCGCTGCATCACCGACACGCTGCTAGGGTTACAGCGTGCCTGTCTGCCGGCCACTCGACTGTGTTTGTGTTTGCGTCTGCCGCTGCTGCCCGCACCACAACAAACTAGTAGATATGGGGCGTGTTAAGATGGTCGTGTGCGTGTGCGGTGGTGGCTGTGCGTGTGTGTATGACGTAGTGCGTTCGTCGCGTGCGTGCGGCGATGCGGGCGTGCGTGCGTGGCGTGCGGTGTTGTGTGAGCGAGAGGAGAGTGTTGTGTGGGGGGGGCGTGCGTGGCGGTCGTGCGTGCTGCTGGACGCCGGGCGCGGTGTGTGTGGTGTTGCGCTCTGCTCGTGAAAAGTCTCTTTGGAGGGAGCGAGGTAAGCCGGAAGCCGCATTTAATTGACATGGTGCGCGAGTGTGATCTCGGCCGCGTGCATTGCGGTGCGCGTGGTGTATGTGTTCGTGGCGGGCGGCGCGTGTGGTTGATGCGGTTTGTGTGCGTGCGTGTGGGCGTGTTGGTGTGTGCGTTGTGTGCGGGTGGGTGTGTGCGTGAGCCGGCGTAAGCATGCCCTTGGGTGGTAGTATTAAGACTTTACAGTCTGCTCTGTTCCGCCGTGTTCTATATCAAATTTTCAAACGGCGAGATTCACTTATTTGGTATGGCAAACACACCATGTGCAAAAACTCGAGGCATCGCAAAACTGCTGGTGATGAAAATGCACTAACGAACTCCGATGTCAAGTAGCCGGTGCAACAACATGCAGAGCAACAGCAGCAGCAGGGTCAGCCAGTAGCAACAGCAAGTAGTAGCGATCAGCGTCAGCAGCAGCAGCATCAGCATCGACAGCTATAATATCGTCGAATAAATTCTCCGCGAGTTGCCTAGGCATCGGCGTGGTAGATTAGTTGCCAATGTCCGCATGCGATACGGAGCTAATCGAGCATGTCGGCATTATGTATTAGTTAGTACACTACCCGAAGCCCCAGCCGCCACCGCCTGTAGTCGTTAAACAGCATTGCGAATTATATCCACCACACCCTCAGTCGCACCCGCCCCAGTCTCAGCGCGTCGATCGCCTCGCCATCGTTATCAGTGACGATGGGCGGGGGGGAGAATGTATTCTCAGCTCATCAGCAGCAGGCCGTGGGGCTTGTAGATCCGAGACGTGCGGTTTATCCCATAGAACGAGCGAGAGAGATACTGATGTGGGTTGCATGATGCATGCATGAAGGATTGGTATGAGCAGAGGTGAATACATGAACAAATTTGGCACTTTAAAAATAGTTGTTTCTCTTTTGTTTTTATATTTTCATGGGGGCCCCTTGGTGTAAGGAAAGATGTAGAGGGTGTGTATGTCTCGAAGGCTAGGTGGTGTGGGGTAGGAAGTGGAGGGCGGGTGGTGTATTCATGGGAGGAGGGGCGGATTCTAGTGTGGGTGGATGGTGTGGTGGTGGT